AATGTAGCGAATTGCCGATCGATGCCGAATAGCCAAATCGTTGACTGCCAACGTGTGAGCACAATAGTTTCAATTCAGGCCCCTCCTTTAATTCAGATCCCTCTAACTTCCACATTTATTTTTTATACTGCGTGTTCATTTCAAAAGTCTCCACTCTTGATCTGATGTGATTATTGCTTTGAGTGGGAACACGTCGATTTAGGTATCGAGGGGAAGTTTAAAAATGGTATCTAGAGAATTTTAAGATTCATCCTTTCGCCCCCAGCCAACCTACTTCGAAATTTAAAATTGAACCCCCTAACTTGTCATCCATCGTTTGAAAGGGCATATCATTCTCTACTCAACCATGATCAAAAAAATGAAATCGATAGACGCATCAATATTAAGGGTGGATACCTTTGAAATGAACACAGAGAACGGATGAGAACGTGTTTATTTATTTATTTTATTTATTTATTTATTGTCCCTCATGTTCTAGGCCCTCAACAGGCTTACTCCCAATTACAGAGTGACCCGAATATTGCTTTTTAATTTAATTTTTAAAAATATTAGCGAGATGCGCATTGTAAATAAACAAAATGGCGGTCATCTCCCACCTGTATTAATTACAATGTGCTGCCACCATGGGTGGACGAAAGTGAACGAAAATGATTTCACCGGTGTAGTTCCACTTTCCACTTTGGCCTGTCCAAGTACGCTAAAACCACATTTGCACAGGTCATACGTCAGCTTTGAAAAGTAACTACGAGAAGTACAAACTTCATGTCTATATTTTTTAGTTCTCAAAGTACTTCCCAAAAACATCGAAAACAGGCAATTTGGAACATATTTCACTAAATTTGTTTGCTACATCAACATAATTAGGGAGGTTTTTTGTTCTATGGATACATTGCGAGACTTTTACCTGCTACTGCTCGTTGTACAGCGCACATAAAACTTGATTAACTTAAGTTTCGAGAAGCGCCTCCAGAAGTGACGGAGCCTGAAACGGATCGCCTCGGCCGCCCCCCGTTTACGCCGCCACTGAATTCAGATTAGCCAATTGGATTTCAGAAAGTGTTAATGCGATTCAGATTGGTAAACTGAACAGAAAATATCAAATGTCATTTAGATTAGTCACCTTAATTTGAGAAAATATTCATTGTAATTTAGAAAGCATCATAATATGTAATTCAGAATCATAATTTGGATTTCGAAAGGTTTAAAATGTAAGAATGTCAGAAAATATCGGAAATGTAGATAATTTTTGAATTTTAATTTATCGGGTTTCTTATTTTCATATTTTAAATAGAACGCCCTATATTTTAACACATTTTCGAAATCTGCATGAAAATCTGCGTCGTTTGACACCACATTTCCCTACCCAACATCAAAGGTTTTCAAGTTATTCAAGATTTTTCAAAATTTTTGAAGTTTGACTGCTTTTCTTTTGATAACTGCACCTATGACTCCATTGACTTGCATTTCAAAAAGTTTTCCAAAATCAATAATACTGACTTGATGCTACATGAAAATGATTTAAATTTTTATCGCCTTCTACAGGGTGTTTTAAAACTAATGGTCAATTTAATAACTTCAAACCTTAAAAAGTTGATTTTTCACATAAAACGTGCCTTATTTTTTGCACTTTAAAATGTCGAAACAAATTCTACATCGATCCATTCCCTATATCTGTTATGCTATTACTCTAAATTAACAGTGAAAACCTGAATACGTTTAGGTAACGGTTTGCGTGGAATAGCCTGTATAGAATTTTTTCTATGTTCAGTAGTTCATTTGCAAATGGATTTTAATCAAAGGCTTTAGCATCGTTTTGTTCACAACATACAAATATGGAGTTCAACGAAAATAAAAATATCGAAATGATTGTTGCTACACAGTTTTCTTCCATCTTACTTGCACGCTGAAAATTTTGTTAATTCTCCATTTTGTAATTAGAAACCGCATTTCCTTAAGAAATACACATTTACTCTAATATTACAGGTAAAAATTTAAGTTTCAGATTATTATTATAATATTGTGTCCAATATTCAAGTTCAATTCTTGTTAATGAAGCACCTACCAACAATGCTGCTTCGATGCTCCTATAATAATCTCACGTAACTTTTCAAGAGAGTGGTGGAGTATAGGTAACTGAATAGAAATATTGAGGGTGACAAATTCCCTTTACTCATCGTAACCGAAACTTTTCATTCTCTAGGAAATGCAGGGTATTTTTTCCCATTTGAGTTTATCGCAAAGACTAGAATGTGAAGTGAAGTAAGGCACAGAAATTCTTATGGGATGACAATTGTCATAATTGATTTGAAAACTTAAATAGTAGTTTACGCAATTAACCAGTTTTGGAATTTCCATTCTCTACTGAAAAATACAATTCTACAAAAGGAAACTAAATAGGTGCGGGAAATGTATACTAACATACGCAGGAAATATAAAATAAAAATGGGTCTCATAAAAAAAAGCAATTCGTAAAGAAACCGCGGTCAACTAATTTTGAATTAAATAACATCTCTCCCACCTCCCCAATTTATACCTAAAAGGTTTCCATTCGAAGAAAACATTAATTAATATAGGGTTGCGTACACCACTGACGTAAAAGTTGAAGGTAATGGATTTGGATGAATTTCTTCTTTCTGTTGTAGGTCAGTCACGATGCACGGAAATCCTATTGTAAAAATCACAAGCGGTTTCCTTAATAATCGTGACCGTTCGAAAGAGCAGGAAAAAGTCCCAACAACCTCGTTAATTTTGTTTATAGATGTAAAAGGCGCATGTTATCGATTTGATATAATATAATAATAAAGAGGTATAAAAAAGGGTTGAAAGGATCATACTCACCTAATTAAAGTTGAAAGAAATGCGAAAATTGATCACAACGCGTGCAGCAGAAAAAGAATCGATTATTTTCGACGATGTCCACCGGTTTATTGATCTTTTCGCAAAATGGAGTTCGATAAGAAAAGTAACATTCAAGATTTCGTATTTTTCATTTCAAATGTCTACACTGCTGTTCGGAAAATTTTTCAGAAACCAAAGTTAAGAGTGCGTAATGATTGTTCTAACCCTGGTTCTAACGAATTATAAATAAATTGTTTAAACGTTCATGTATCCCATATAGCTTGGACTCGAATGCAATTATGAGTGAAATTCGGCATTAAAACAATTAAAATGACTTACCCATCGCTAATTGTATCTGGTTGACGCATAAAAGGCCCTCCACCTTCAACACCACACTCAAAATACAAAATTTATTTAATGATTTGAAGGCGTTTCGCACGTATCGTAGTTGCAAAGATAATGGTAGTAATCGGAGTTGCGCCGATTTACCTTTCCTGTCCTTATCGCTACACTTTCTTTTCGTACCAGTTTCTCGCCTTACTGATTGCATTTTCACAAATATCCGTCGACCTTGGTAAAAACAATACCAAAATGCGATTCATTCCACCTGATTAAATGTAGGCTCTTTCAGAAAACGTTTTCGGAAAACTGAAAACTACACCTTTGACCAACTAACTACAGAAATTAGAAAAATATACGTTTCGACATCTTTTTAAAAATCCCGAATAGGTTCCAATTGACTTGAAACCTAGTTAATCTTTCAAGTCCAACATTTTGTTGTAATACGACTTTAAGCAATTATATAGTATTTTTGGGCAGTTAAAATTTAAAAAAACGGATCGGTCAACTTTAGAATGGATGGCGGATTTTGGACCTGATTTCTTCTTGAATTTTACCCTCTGTTTGTATCACTTGTAAACTTTCCTTTCAGCATTATGCACAAAGAATATAGGCCTTTCTTTTGGAAGTGGCATGCTAAGGCAAATAAAAATCAAACCAAGCGCACCAAATCAAAAGTTTCTAATTTATTCTTTTCAATAACTTTACATAGCGTCCTTTACACAATAAGTCTAACATGATCTAATTGCAATGTATGTATAATGAATAACATGTTTATAAATATGCGTAAGTCATGTAATGTCTATATAACATAGGAACCAAAGTAATATCAAGTTCTTATAAACAAAAAAAGAATAAAGGGTCGTTATCACTATTAAGGGAGATGTCTTACAAGTATAAAAGAAAACACATTTTTAACGATAAAAAGAAACACCATCTTCGTTTGAGAAACATAACAATAATTCTATGTACATTTTTACAATGCAGATAATGGAAAAGAAACGCGCGTGCTTACTTATATACAAATATTTACACTGAAGAATAAAAATAGGAGACGTACACAATGATTTATACAAATAAATAATGCACATTCACAACCTGTCAGGTCAAAATATTACGGTTAGCGGTCTACGGAATTCGCCTGCCGGGCCTTGCGCCGAATACTGACCTGGATATTGGGACATGGGTAAAAGACCGGAAGGCATTGCGCTGTTTTGCTGCAACGCGCTGCCGGGGTAGTAACCGGGGAGGCCGCCGGGAGACGCGCCCGCCGAGGAGGTCGTGGTGGAGCTCGAGGAAGACGTGCCATCTTGTCGTTCAGGTTTGGTGTCGGGCGAGTCGGACGATTTTGGCGACGCCAAGTTTGAAGGCATTGTCGGAGAGGCGTCCGAGTACATTTTTCCAATGTCTAATGAGTAATGGCGGGCGGAATCTGGATTGTATTTGCCGTCCATGTACATTTTGGAGGATTCGAAGTAGGCTTTGGTTAGTGCGGATGTGGAGTCTAGGTAGCCGCGTTCTAGGTAACTTTTGGAAGATGTGTCCATGTATTTTGGATCTGAGTACATCGACATTGCTAAACTTGATGGTGGCATGTAGGCCGATCGGTACTTATCGGCTTCCATTGAGTATTTCATTGCATCCATTGAGCTAACAACCTGGAACAAATAAAATATTCAATGATACATCCATTTTACTGCAGTCGTATGATTTCATTTGCTTCAAACTTTCTACTGTAGTTTTGGTATTCAAAAGGCTCGAGTATATTTACTCAAATAATATCCTTTTCTGACACTAACTGGCAGAGTGTTTTTTAGAAAGTAGCAAAAGGGCACCTAGTAATGTAGAACTATTATCGAAAATGGTTTTAAGAACCCACTGTAGGTATAATTTCCGTTAAGGCCCTATCCTTAAACTAAATATTATCTAGTTCGTTTCACGTAGATTCTCTAGCGAGAACGTATCTTGACCTAGTAAGTTAGTAATTCTCTTAGTCTTAGTAAATCTATCTATTTCTCCCCCTATATTCTTAATATTTCACAAGTTCATACGGGTTCTCCAAAATTCCTTCGGACATTCTTGGGAAACTTATTTAGATTTTTAATTTCTCGAAAAGTTCATCAGAGATTATGAATATCTATTTAAAGATTTTGATTTATATTTAATTTCTAAAAATTGTTGGGTAATTTTTAGAGATTTTTAAGAATCTCCAAAAATTCTTCAGATATTTCACAAGGACTTTCTTTTTCTATGTACAACCTTTAAAAATTATGCTAGGTTTTGTTACAAAAACAAAAAGTAAAAAAACTAAAATATTTTTCATAAAAGCGATTATTTTGTTTTCGTTAAAATTTTAGCAGTGTACATTAGGCACAAAGGATGTAAGACTGCCAAAAACTTTTTTTTAGTATCTGGTTTGGGCTAGAAAGCTGTTTTGTTAGGAATTTGGCACATAGTTTTTTTTCTATAACTGTAAGTACGAGTGAACGTGGCTGCTTTACCAGCAGGGCCCAATATACTCTTAAAAAGTAGAACCACCATTCGTACCTGACACCCTCTTGGTACTACTAGAGCACGTAATATCATTTCTTAAAATCTCTAAGAATCTCAAGCGGTCCTATGAAAAATATGAAGGATCTTAATCTACGTAAAAAAATTTGATGAATTTCCTCGTTGCAGAATCTCTTAGGACTTTCGACTCTTGAAACTTACCAAACATGAATTTTCCAGTAAATTATCTAAAAAACAGACCGAGGACCTAAAAAGATCAAACGAATCCCTGAAGGATCTTTGAAGAATTTAGAAACATTTAAATGATTTCTAATGGAACTCTGCAGACCCTTTGAGAACCCTTTGAACATCCCTGAGAGATACACAGTTATAGATATCCAATAAAGTCTGTCAGAATCCGTAAAGAATCTCTAAAAAATTATTAGGAACCTCTAAAATATATATGAATAGTCTCTAAAAAAAGTTGGTGATTATTTAAATATCTACAAAATATTGTGAAAGCCTTCAGTGAGCGTGTTATAAGGTTTTTTAAAAATCAATCTATTCCAAAAATAATAATCTTCCAAAAAATATATAAAATTTTTAGAACTCTTTTGATAACATTAGAACTGCAGAAGATTTTTGAAGAATCTTGGGGGGTAGCCTGGCATGTCCGAGTTTGTAGGCAACCCAAAGGAATATCTTTTAACTTTTTGAGAAACCTCTAAGAATCCCAAGAAATATTCTAAAAAATGTGGGCATCTCTGACGGAAATTGGAAAAAAATGTCTATGAAAAACTTCTGGGAGACCTTTGAAACACATTTTAAGTGGATTTCCTAACTGTTGCTAGACATTAAATAATACACTTGGGGAGGCCCCTTAGAATCTTAAGAAACCTTTAAAGAACCGTTAACAAATCTCTTAGGAACCTGTAAAATACATCCAAAGGATGCGTTTTTGTTCTAAAATTTAAAGGATTGTGTATATAGTGCGGCAAAGAATACTACAAAATGGACAATTTCTAATTTCAGAACACATATAGACGTGAACACAAATCTTAATAGTTTGGTATCAAAACTAAAACGATTCTATAAACTTGGTCAAACAAAATTACAATACACGACAGTATACCATTACTGTTACACTAGAGATTTTTACAATTGAGCCTTTTGCAAGACAGTCTTTTTGTTGCCTCTGTTATTAATGATGACAAAAATGGAAACAAGAGGCTTAATTATATTTTTTGTGGTCGTTATTCAATGAACTTGCTTTTTATATCTTTGAATTCAACCCTTTCTCTTTTCCCTTTCGAAATGATAACAATTCAATAAAATACCAATTGTGAAAATTATACTCATGGAGGAGAAAAGAAGGTTGAAAATCCCGTGTCTGGGCACAAAGAACCGGTGTAATACGTTATGCTTTTGTATCCATGGATAGCAGCACCTTGCGGGACAAAAGTGACAATATATCATGCCACACAATGCGCTTTAACGATTTAAACAAACGTCTGCGTTACGCGTAATCATTTTATTTCTTGTGCATATTTTATAAACACACGGTATAAGCATTCTTTAACATACCAAAGATGATTAATACCGTATTGTGTCCGCCTTTATTTCACCCTTCCGATCGATCCGGCGGAAAATTATCGCCGATGTGAAAATCGGAAAAAATGCGCGGCCCCGAAATTATTTTCATATGTAAATATTGTATAGAACAATTTATCTTGACGTTGTTATTTAAATAAGGTAAAAGCGAGGGTGTCGAGGAACCGAAGCTGCTTTAGCGTGATTGGGACCGCGTGCTCGCCTGGACAAAGATTATTAAATCAGGATTAGCGGTATGTTTGTGACTGGTCTGAGGCCTGACTAGTTCTTTTGTAACAAAAACAAGCATTGATTTGTAGGCTATCATGTGGATACAGGAATGCCGAGTCTATGAATACCAATTAATAACTTCCAGATGTAGGGTGTTCGATTATAAACTGCTGGGTTTATCGTCCCAGACCTTGTTTGTGGATTATAAAGCCAATGAAAATTAGGGTTTATATCTTACGCCCGACTTCTGCAGTAGCATCGTTCTCGAAATGGTACCAGCTCAATCAACAAAACTTGAACAGCATTTCTCTTCCAGAAGTTATGATGGAAATAAACTGCTTTTACGTACGTACGTTTTACGTACCAAAAGGACGTATATGACGAGGGTGTTTTGATCGTAAAGCGATACGTAACTACTGACAGTTAAATGAAATACAATTTAATTTATTATTTGCTCGCGGTTACATAAGTAGAAGTACGTAGGTACAATTTGAAACATTTCCACTTACGCTGATTGTCTCTACAGTTTAACTCTGTCTTTCACAGAAAGAGAACGTGGCAGTGCATCAGTGTATGACAGCACCTTTCAGGAATATACAAAATAATACTCCGGATGGATCAATTTTAGAAGAAAGGAGCTTCCAGACACAAAGATATGGCCCAATTAAGTTGTTATTTAAATGCACCCTAATAACCAAACGCCAAGTTTGTTATTTTATTATGGTAGCACACGGAGCAACCCGAAAACCACCAAAGGCCTTTACCCTCATAGTGATAACAGCTTCTTTGTTGACGAAAAGTCGCAAAATTCGCCATTCACACTTTCTTGTTTCTCTCTAACTCTAACCTAACCCTTCTAACCCTAAAAGTAATAACAATTTATGATGGTAAGTGCCAAATGTTCTATACACACATTTTTGCTGCACTCGTGCAAATGTTTAAGTAATCCATTACGGTTTTAATAGGAAAAATCTGTAAAATGCGAGGCATTTTTTTATAGAACTCTATACGGGAACAACTCGAAAACTTCCATTTTTGTGGACCTTTTTCAGTTTTTCTATATTGATTGAAAACGAATTGTATCTGTTTTTCCAACATAGGGTTTTTCAAGGAGCATTAAATTACCTACAATCCACTCTGTGAAATTAGCCACCAAAATGCCGAACATGAGTACATTCCCTATATCTGTATGCTGTTACTCTAAATTAACAGTGAAAAACTGAATACGTTTAGGTAACAAGGGTTTGTGTGGAATAGCCTGTATAGTATTTTCCCTATGTTCAGTAGTTCATTTGCAAATGGATTTTAATCAAAGGAGTTCCACGAAAATAAAAATATCAAAACGATTGTTGCTACACATTTTTTTTCCATCTTTACTTGCACGCTGAAAATTTTGATAATTCTTTATCTCCATTTTTAATTAGAAACCGCATTTCTTTAAGAAATACACATTTACTCTAATATTACAGGTAGTTTTAAGTTTCAGATTATTATTATAATATTGTATAAATATTCAAGAAACAAAAACATGAATTTTTGTTAATGAAGCCACTACCAACAATGCTGCTCTAGTATAATAATCTAAATTCTAACGTAATTTTTCAAGAGAGTAGTGGAGTATCATAACAGAAACTTGTGATTCTCTATATAAATGCAGTGTATTTTTCCTATTTGAGCCTGTGGCAAAGATACTGTACCTACTTATTAAGTAGAATCAGATGAATATTACGACTAGAATTCGTGCAAATGTTTAAGTAATCCATTACGGTTTTAATAGGAAAAATCTGTAAAATGCGAGGCATTTTTTTATGTAACTCTATACGGGAACAACACGAAAACTTCCAATTTTGTGGACTGTTTCAGTTTTTCTGTGTTGATTGAAAACGAATTGTATCGGTTTTTCCAACAGCGTTTTTCAAGAAGCATTAAATTACCTACAATCCACCCTGTGAAATTAGCAGCCAAAATACCGAACGTGATTAGGGCTGTTTACCATAAAAAAAATTTGCTCGTGCATTCTCGCATAGCAACCATTTTTCCATAGCCAAACTAAAATTCACTTTAGATTTAGATCACTTGCTGCCCGTCTGACAGGGTGAAATCTACTCCCAAAGTGTAAAAAAATGTATACAGGGTGGTGACTTGCGTAACGCATCATAGGGATTTCAAGGTAAAATTCATAACATGCGATTATTGGCTCCCGAAATAATTTTAAAGAAAAAATGTATTAAGGTTTTTTCTAGAAAAAAATTTTTTACGTCAGCCAACCGTATTAGTTTTCAATTTTTTGCATAATAAAGACGGAAAATTGGAAAAAGAAAACCCGCATTTTTTTCAATAATCTGTGATGCCGCATGGAATTTTATAATACAAAAACTACGCCAATATCCGTCATATGCCATGGAATGTCTACTATAAAACAAATCAAATTCTTTCAAAAAGTATTATATTTAGAACAGCGAAATCAACATAAAGAAACACCAAATTACTAAAAACGGTTTCCTAAGATAACAATTTACAATAAATGTTCGAATAAGTCACCATTAACTGCAAGACAGTAACCAAGTCGATCATAAAATCCATTTCGAACTGCTGCGAATTGATAACTGGATATTTTTTTGCTTTAGAAAATTCCATGGCATGGGGGTTTTATTTTTCCAATTTTCCGTCTTTATTATGCAAAAAATTTTTTTCTACAAAAAACCTTAATACATTTTTGCTCTAAAATAATTTGGGGAGCCAATAATCGCATCTTATGAATTTTAATTGAAATCCCTATGATGCGTTACGCAAGTCACCACCCTGTATAGCATTTCACAGTATAATATTTAATTGCATTGTCTCCTAAAAAATTGAAAATACCGGCCATATAACAAGGCCAAATCTGCCCCCAAAGTGTACAAAATTTATATAGCGCCCTTAGAAAAAGGTTTCACGTTCTAACATTTATTAGGCTATTCACAACTTTGGGGATAGATTTCACCCTGTTAGAGGGGCGGTAAGTATGTTCAATTTTTTTTTTAGATACTTAGGGTCAATGCGAAACACCTAATACATCTAGAATGTGAAACCTTTTATTAAGGGTGCTATATGAATTTTGATACTTTGGGGTAGATCAGACGGGCAGTAGTAACAATTTTTTTGCAGATACTAGAGCTATATGCGAATTGATCTGTAGATAAATGTGCTATATGAGTTGTTTTTAATACTTTGGTGGTAGATTTCACTCTGTCGGACCGGCGGGGCGGTAACGGATACAAGGTAGAATGCGTGTGCTATATCAATTTTGTATACTTTGGGGGAGGATTTCGCCCTCTCAGACGAGCGGGACATGATTGTCAATTTTTTTTTTGGAGATAGGATAAATTCATTGTACTATCGACTTTTACAGCGTAAAGTTCTTCGACAATCTTTAAAGGTCATTTCTACCCCTAATAGTAATAACAATTTTGTGAAGTTGACGAGGGGTCGCAGTATACACTATTCATTAATTCTCGCTTCTTTCTAATAGGCTATTGAAGTCGTAATGGGAATAATATAAGCAACTCAAGGCAGTTTTTTTATGGGACTACACGCAACAATCCGAAAACAACGAAACTTTTTGTTTATACGAAAGGGCCCAAAATTCAAAATTCTTGTACTTATTGTTCAAAATTGTAAGTGGTCCAATGAGATCTTAATAGTAAGTAATATGCAAAAGGGAATACAATTTTTGGTGGGACTACACAGGGTAACCCGAAAACCACAAAATTTGTGGATTTTTAAAATTTTTCTGTGTACATATTGTTAAAACTAACTGATGTATCATTTTGTTCACTACACAGTTGTTCAAAGAACATTAAATTCCCCACTTTTTGCACTACGTACAGTCCTTTCTCTATTCCTGGATGACTACCGATGAATAAATTTACACATTCTTGCGGTTCCGTAACCCTAATGCAACAATTTATAGAAAAGAAATTGGTACCAACACAACAAGATAGTGACATTTTTACACCTTCTCACGATTCTACCATCCTGATACAACAGTGTCTAAGGAAAACTTCTATCAGGATAATAGATGAAAGAGTGCTCGTTTAGAAATTTATACCTTCTTGCGTGCACGTATTCACAGAAAAATTTGTGACAGAAACGAGGACAGAAGCACAAGAAATACATATGAGGTGTATCCGGAAAGAATCGGGTTTGATTTTTCCCTGAATGAAAGGGAGCGCACCGATCAGTATCGTTTACAGCACGCATGGTCAACCTTTTTTTCCAAAGAGCCAAAATAAAATTTTTCATATGCGCTACGGGCCACATTTAAAAATCCAAATAAAAAGTATGTATAAAGAAATTAATAATCATCTATTTCTTTTTGGTCTTGACCTATTTTGTGCCTTCGTAAAATCGTTTTTTAAAAAAACAATAAGTACTCCTGAAAAGTGAAAATTCACACCATTTTGCATACAACATTTACCAGACGTGAAACAAATTCCCATATTCAGCTTGTATCCAAATTTTCATTCTTAAGATTTGTTGCAATATATGGCTTAAAAATATTTATTAATCCCAAAACACGTGTCGTTTTATTGATTGGCTCACCCGGTATATATCACGACGAAAATTCTGGAAAATACCTGGCGATATCTCTGAAACAAGAAATGTATCTGCTTTCAAACGTCTTGGAAGCTTTGGATCGCGTCCACTAGATGCTGTATGTGTAATATAATCATTAGTCACTATAGATATAGAATAATCATAATAATCATATTAATTCATTCTAATCGACGGGCCAGATTAGGGCCGCGGGCCGTGGGTTGCCCATATATGGTTTACAGGGAGTAGTGGTGACGAGTGTCAGACTGTCAGAGGAGCGAGGGAACGAGCGGCAGTTGGTTCCGAAACGTGCATTTTTCAGTATGATCCTGAAATATGCCTATGAAAATTGGGAAAGCCGTTGGCAGCGTTGCATGCCCAAGGGGCTCACTTTGTAAACGTTGATTAACTCAACAAAAAAGTGAATAATGTTTTTATTTTGAGACTAAACCAGATAATTTCCGGGCACACGTAATATATGAAAAAGGCATATATTAGGAAGTCATAACACATTAGAGGGTCCTATTTGTGTATTCAGTTGGGCTTCAAAGAGTCAAGAGTGTAAACATTTTTTATCAGGATATAACCGATTACGTGAAAGGCATCTGTCCATAAACTAGCTACACTTTCTGCGTTTCTACTTAATATATTAAATACCTACATTAAATTGAAAGATGCTGTGTATACAAAAAGTTGAGCCCGATCGATTTTAAACTGGGCTTCTGTAATTTTGATCAGTTTTTAAAGGGAACAGGAAACCTTTACCAAGATGGGAGATGGTATTGGTGTCTAACAAGCGATTTTACACTTTCCTGCTTTGTGTGGTCCCAGCACCATTTTTAAAAGGATAATTCCTGTAAGGGGCACATGGGACATAAATAGAGGACCTACCAATTTTTAAGGAAAAAATTTCCACAGAGAAGAATAAATACTTGAGGAAGTGTATGTCAAGGAATTTAGGCTTTCTTGGTTATGTGGTCTTGATACAATTTTTGTAGCAACAATTTGTAGCTATACATAAACATGCACGAAAGCTAGGGAAATCTTTCAATACATTTTATATACGGTTCTGTGATTCTGATAAGCATTTTAAATAGGAAAATTTATCTAAAAACGTGAGAAAGTGTCTGTAATAAACTGTACACCTTTTTTTGGGATTCTGATAACCAATTTTTAAGAGAGAACTTGGTACCAGGAGTAAGGAGATGTAGGTAGGAAGAGGTCTGTCGATACATTTTACAGTTTCTCAAGTTGCTAAAATTTTAATACACAATTTTTAAATGTATTAGGAGGACATAATATCTTTCTCATTTTTATACAACAATTTGCAAAATTGAGGTTAGGAGAAAATAAAAGAGGGGCAGGGGATTCCTGTGTTTAATTTTTATAAAAAGGCGCCGTTCTTACCATCTGCACGTTAGTAAAGTAAAGTAGGTATTGCTTTGGGGAAAAAATGACTTCCTACTTTTTTGTTGGAAATACACGTTTTGAAGCACAAGGAATGCAATTCCCACAAAATCTCGATGATGTTGATCTGTATGCTTGTAAGCCTCATCTCCGGCTAAACGGCCGAACCGATTGGAACCAAATTTGGTAGACATATTCTTAGACATAGGTAAAAGGAAGAGCTCAAAAGCTTTTGGATAGATTTTTATTATTTTGGAAGACAAATTCGCGCCATGCAATATTTGCCATAAGAAGATGTAAAATATAATGTATCTATCCTTTTGATGTATAGGTATTAGTCCTAGTGCTAGGCGAAAAGTCAAGAATCACCATGATGATATATGTTCGAATATTGAAGAGGTAAAGACAAGCTTGGGTAGGGTAGTGTGTAATGTAATTATATCTAATGTGTTTCTATAGGCTGTACGAGAGTGGAGGTTATGTGAACTATTTTATACACTTATTGTAATTTTAAGCACCTTTAAATATAAAGGCAGGGTGTAAGATATCGGCGTCATTGTGGCGCACTACGCGGAATACAAAATGAATTGGTCTCCGGTCTCCGCATTTATTCAGAGCAACATTCGAGAAGATTTATTAATATGATGAGAAGAAAATCACTAATTAGCATTATGATATAAATCTCAAGATAAAGCACGTATATGCGAATTGCATAAATTAATTGTCTTGTGTCATGGTTGTTTGATGTTATTTTCAATAAGCATAAATAAATTCAATTAATGTTTGTTTTGCATTATAAACGTTTGCAACCTAGTGATGAAGTTAAATCGAAGGCACTTTCTTTGAATGTACTTAAATTCAGAACTATGTCACAGGTGTCCACCAACAATGAATGTTGGATTCAATTAAATTTTTATAGGTTGTTTTCCTTAGCGGTTGCACTTCCTCAATAGAAATTTTAATTATGTTGCATATTGATGGTTGAAAAGAGTTCGAATTGTATTGAATAAAAGAACAGACAAGAACCCACACATGATGGCTCGTCACATATTGTCCATATCTAATGGTCGGTTTCACGACCGATCACTACTACATGACTTAGCATATTTTCCTAACTAAAAAACTGGTGGAGAATTTCTCACACTTCGTTAGTTACGACAAACATAAATTGTGCGGTGCGTGTAGGGTTTGGGCGCAGGCAATCAGCGTTCTTGTTGTTCTTTGTAATCATTAATTCAAAAGACATTAACGAGTTTACTTATAAATTACAATTCGGTCGAGATTTATTTTGGAAATTAACCTACCTGCGCAGGTGACGTTAAGCCGGCCGACATGGATTGTTGAGCGGCGGCGGCGGCGGCAATTGATGCCGCGCTTAGAGAACCATAGGCGGCGGATGGGTTGTAGTAGGACGCCATAGACTGCGTCATACTGCTCGCTGCCATGCCTGTAAGTAAAGAAAAAGTTGTACACACCGATAAATTCACATATTATTTAACAGCGCTTGAAATTATTATGGATAATAAGACGGTTTGAGAAATTATCGGTACATGAAGAGTGAATAGGATTAACATTTGTTGCAGAGTCACGAATGACAACTTAAATTATAGATAGAGTCATCAATTTCTAGCGGGTTGTAATATATAATAATGTTTTTCTAATGTAAAATCATACACGTATACATCTGTCATTCTTTTGTACCTAACATTCACGTAATTGTATGATGTACACTGTACGTAGGGGTACGTACACCTTTGTATCGAATGACATAATGAAATAAGCTTTGATTGACAAGTAAATGCGTATACTTAACAAACATTCGCTAATTTAGCGGCAATAAATCTTACTTACATCTAGTGAAAGGGATAACCTCAGAAAAACCTGGTCCTCCCAAACTTTTTCCTTTTCTGCACCATATTGGCACATTTGCTTTATCGACCAACTCCAAATATCGCTTTAGGGGTCCATGGAACTTTTAGATTCCATGAGCATTAAAATTGGCCCAGTTAATTTAACTTCAGATCGATACTTCCATTTGGAAAAAAGGTGTTATAGAAGGGATGCCACGTTTGAAGTGCCGAAGCACAAATGAAATGATGACAAAATGTTCAGGGGATACATGCAAAACTTGAATTTACCACCGTACGGCAAGGATATGGAAATTGGCCTCAAAGGCGTCAATCTCTTTCAGAAAGCCACAACTGTAAATAGTTTCAGAGGCTTAACCGTAGGCAAAATAACTGAAATAACCTTTATCTTCCCATAAGAAAGCCAGTCATAAGTATATCTTGGAACGTCAAATTTCAAGCCGAATCCGTCTACAGTAAAGTAAAGTTAACCACCAAAAATGAGCAGTTGCTGCAGGAGGAACAAGTTTTTCTCATGCAAGGCCCACATTTTTAAAGAATTCAACGGAGATGGCTTGAATTGTGCGAATGATTGTCGCAAAGGGGGAGGGATCTCTTTACACGTGTACACAAATTTTTAAAGGCAGCCTGGCACACATTCAAAATCTACGCTATATAGTCCAAGAGTTAAGCTCGCCGCATGTAAGTTATTCACGATTTACATCTACAAACAGTAACTCCGGGGTAGGGGGGGGGTCTCCCTTAAGACAGCATTATTTGAGGGCCATCTGACACACGCTCAAGGTATAGGACTACATACTGCAAAAAAATTGTGGGCTTCTAGGGCAATTCCTCTAAAAGTAGTTCAAAACGTGGGTCCGGACGGACAGACGAGCAGACGGACAGACGGGCGGACCAATGGACAAAACGCAAACAAAAGCACATTTTTTTTAATTTTAAAAAAAGTGCGTTATTTTTTCCATTCGGACTGAAAACGTATGTTGCAATTTTATTGAAAATATTTAAGGGATGATATGTATAGATTAAAAATCAAAGAATCCGTGTAATGAATAATGAATTTTTACCTTTATTCTACGTTTTGTTCTTGGTTTCGGACCTACCACTTCACTATCCCTTTACGATTTACGTGGATCGTCCTCCAATGTTCCGGTCTCGCGAAATTCGCATTTTCCTGCCTATCTCGTTCTCAAAGAGCACTTTAATGGTATGCAATAAACGTTTTTTGAAAATCTTAAAAGCACCCTTGATTTTTCGAACCCTAAATTATGTCACGAATTAATGTCTAACCATCAGAAGCTCAAAATTCAATTAGGATTTTTTCCTTTACAAGAGACGACCAAACAATCGGGGGACACACTGTATATATAGTGTGTCCCCCGATTGGCCGACCCATATGGGTTGCTTCGTAGAAATTTATATAGGGATTTCAAAGGATTTCCAAGATTTCGAGGATTTACCGAGGATCTCAGAGGATTTTTAATTTTGTTCAGAATGCAGATTTTACGTGATATATTCTCATATGGTCAATGGTCATCCAATAAATACTGATGCTTCTACCGATCATTCCTCGAGTAGACTGTGGCTTGACTTACCTCAACTATGTTTGTAAGTACAGAAACATATAGCTACCTATCCTACAAAAGAAAGATTATCTATGAATTTCTCTGTGATAAATTACGTACTGAAACACTCGTATCACAACGAGCAAGTTGAAATGCGCTTTATATGACATGGAAGCCTTTCTTTTAGTTAACTCACTAACGAATGGGCGGACGGACCGAATTCAGACCTGAAGTATATTATCCATGAAAATTATTCAATAAATTAACCGCTGTGCTTAAAAATCCTTTTAGGGTAGACGCAGTTTCATCCAATCATAATACAGTGTCCATTTAAAGAGTGGCTATGAGAGTATATCGGAAAAGGGAAAGAATATCTACAAATGCCGAAAAGCGTATTTGAGGGAACACCGAGTATGCATAAATAGTGTATTTGGGAAAGTCATTGGCATGTGTTGTATTAAGAATCCGCAATTTTAACACGATAAACATTCTTCTTCAATACGACTACAGATATTAACCCTGAAAACTTGCAAAAAACAGAGAAAAAAGATGGAAATCCCTTTAAAAAAAGACAATTTTAATTTTTTTGAACATTTTTAAAAATAGTACTACGTCATTGGGTGGTATTTTTCATTTCAACAATTACACCATTTGAAAATTTTGTGGGTTGCCCTATGGGGCGAGACCAAACTGGAAGTTCACATCCTATTTTTGTTTCATGCACAGCTTGTAAAAACCTCGAAACGGTTAAAAATTTCTCGTGCACCGACGCATACGGCCAAGGCCTATTTTGTATGCGTTGGAAAGGAGTAACACTAACATTCAAATTGGTGAGAGCGTACACAAACCCTACGACCTGTAGATTTACTAGCCTTTTTTTGTTGAATAATTAGGAATCATTCACTTCAGTTTTCAGCCACCTAATGCGAAATTCAGTAGCCAATCGTACACAAGAATTTGAGAAAGTACGTAGACTGTAGTCTTTATCACACAGTCATTTCTTATAGTATACAAGATTTGAGTTTCGAGAGGAATCTCTTTATTAATGTCTTTTTTAATTTGTTCCAAATTTATGGAAAAAAATGCGTGTGGTATATGCATGGCAATGAGGTTTAAAACTTGAAACCAATTTCATGCAGTTAATAATACTTTATTTTCAATGGCATATTTTTGTAGAAATTCTTATATTCCATTATGCATTCCTCACATTTAACGATTTTGTCTAGTAATAAATTTAACTAACTACCCCATAAAAGAAAATGTGTACAATAGCTTCAATGCATTTGTCTACTACTACCATAGAAAATCAATCAGAAAACAAACATTTTTCCACACACAAAGGCGACTTAAAAAGGGCCCTGCAAGAAAAAAGAAAACTTATTATTCCGTAATGGCGTGACTAGAAAATTTCGTGTTCTAATGAAGTACTCATATCATTAGGATAATACAGTAATGCAGTCATTTCGGTAGAATACAAATGATTTTTGACATCCAAGCCAAAACGATTCATTATTAAGTTTGATGTCAGTGCGTGTTCGGTTTAATTTATTACTTAAAGTGCACGCGAAGGCACTTTCAACACTGAAATATTATTTTTATTTGATTATTCTTGATACGGGGTCGCGAGAATTTTTTTGTAATCCGCAACTTTCGGCTTCGGCCTCGTATCAGTTAGTGACAGGGTGACAGGCTCTATTAAATCAATAATATATAAAAAGTAGGGGCTCTTGACGGTTTTATTTCTGGATCAAATCCATCGAGGCACGAAACACCTGGTCAAATAGGTGTGAGATCCTGGGCAGTCGCGGTTGGAATCTGGATCCCGTGAAGAACCCCCGCTTTTTTACGAATGTTTTAGATTCCATTCGTATGTGTCTTCTTTTTCAACACTATTATAGGCGAGCGGATAAACGAACATCATTAATTAAGAAACACGTCAGGGTATTGCAATAACTCTCCGTGGAAGTCAATCACATTTAGTAATATTTTATCGATGACATTTGCATACTATTGTTGTATCTTGTATAGGAAAGTTTAAGGCCTTTGGAACACACAAGCTGAAACTTTGTCCATTAGTTAGGCACAATAAAAATGAAGGTAACTACTGGGTGGCCGATATCACCTACATTTCATGTCATTATTGCCAATTAGAAGTTTGTTATGTCATACAATAACCGTTAATTTTTCATGTTATGTTCAAGCACAAATCCTTTATTTGTATTGTAGACATATTTTCCTTTCTATTTTCTTGAGGGACGAAGTATTGTGTTACTAATCCAAATTGCGTTGGGGCGATTCTGCATCCCTACCGAAATCTTATATTAGCATGCACCCTATGACATTGAAATCGTAATGTAAGATATATTTGACGATTATTATTACTGACAATTTTGTAATGTTTCTACTTTTTACATGCACGCTACTTAGAATTACTAGTAGCATGAAATTAAAAGGTAATATTCGAATTAATTACTTTATATAAAAATAAAAAGCCAAAATATGTATAATAATGCCTTAAATCCCTGCCTGACTGGGAATCTAAACGTCGGAAAGTTTCTAAATATACTCAAATCCCTAAATTGTTATTGTTCCTTAAATATTGCAACACAAAGTTAGGTTCACTTACAAAATAACCCCGTCTGCGAACTTGGCACATTTTTCTGAAACAATAAGTCTATAACAGCATGCTCTAGGTTTACTGAATAAACAATTCTTTCATTTTCGAGGCGTTCTCCACATTTTTACACCATAAATCTTTGAAAGTTTGCTTGTTGGAAAAAAGATAGGTGTCATTTGAAAGATTTTAAACCTAGTTCTAATTTCTTTGTTTGCATATAAATTCTAAGGTTGGTATTCATCTTCATTTTCGCCAACTTCCCCAACATTTCGGCGACTAAAGCTAATGTAGTTACCCAAAAGTTGTGAAACAATAACAAATTTTGCGAAACAAACTTTATTTATTTATTTTATTTATTATTTATTTATTTTATTTATTATCCCTCTCTTGTTTTGGGCCCTCAA